TGTGGTTCGATCCCCAGATCCTCATCCCTTAACAGACCTGCCCTTAAGCCATCCTCAGTGAGTCCCCCCCACCAAAAAAAAAGAAGTGCTCCTCTTAAGTCTAGAAATAGGGAATACACTGTGGTAACAAGTAGAGCACACACTAAGCCATTCTCATGAAACATTTATGAGAAATTGTCTTTAAAATAAATAAATCACTTCACAGTGCGTGCCTGTAATCCTAGCATTCAGGAGGCTGAGACAAGAGGATCATTGTGAGTTCAAGACTAGCCTGGGCTAGAAAGTGAGCTCAAGACCAGCCTGAACTGCATAGTGAAACCCTGTCTCAAAAAGACCAAATAAATAAATATCAGCTCAATTTGAGTTTATTTGCCATCTTAGTAATCAAGATTGACCCAAGATCATGTCCAACTACTATGGAAATCAGCATGGAGGTTCCTCAAAAAACTAAGATTACAGGTTGCATTCAAGCCAGCTATTTCCCTCCTGGGTATTTTTCTAAAAGAACTAAAAACATCATGTCACAGTGATATGTGTGCACCCATGTTTATAGCAGTGCTATTTATCATAGCTAAATCTTGGAAACAACCCAAAAGCCCATCAACTGAGGAACGGATAAAAAAAGATGTGGTATTTTTATACAATGGAGTATTACTCAACTATAAAAAAGAAACTCAAGATTTTCATAGGCAAATGATTGCAGGGGCTGGGTAAATAGCTCAGTAGTGTAAGTGCCTGTCTGGCAAGTGCAAAGACCCAGGTTCAGTCCCCGGTACCACATGGCCCACCCAGCTGGCCACTGAGAGGAGGAGTGGTGGTGCATGTCTGTAATCCCATTGCTGGGAGGTTGAAACAGGAGTATCACTATGAGTCCAAGCTGTATAGCAGGACCCATTACGAAATTCACACATTTATTTATTTAGTTACTTTTGTATTTAGTACAGGATCTACAGAGTCTCACTACATAGATCGGACTCACAGTGATCCTCCTGTTTTCAGCCTCCCAAGTGCTGGGATTACAGGCACGCACCACCATACCAAGTCTCAATCACCATCTCAGTGTGCCCTGGGGGCAGGGCCAACACTGAACACTAGTTATCCAGTCCCAGTGGATAACTGCTGCGCGCTGTGTAAGCAGGCACTTTAGTCCACTGAGCTATCAGGCTGGCCCACCAAATTCATAAATTTAAAAACAAAAAAGTAAATGGAACAACTAGAGACCATACTTATAAATGAAATGAATCAGACCCACATAAGTAAACATCATATCGTTTTGCTAGTATAAGAACTTAAAAGAGTAAATAAAATCTAAAAGGTACAATAGATACTGTGACAGGGAAAGAAACTGATCAAAGGCAAGCAATAACTGGGTTGCGGGTGAGAAGAATCAAAAAAAGAAAAAAATATACATGTACATACACAGGATAGCTTGGATAATTATACCACTGATTTCTAGTGGTCTATTGAAAGGCACAATTAATGCTTAAATATTTTTTTTTCTATTTATGTATTACCAATTTTGCATGCTTGTATCTGGTAATCAGAACTGGTACCATAATAAATTCTGCTCAGCATTACTTGCTAATTTACTCAAGTAGAATGTAATTAACCTTTCAAAGATAGTAACCAGATAGTGCTACCAAAGATAGTGGACAGACCTAATTCCAATCCTATGATGACTGGAGGACTGTTTCAGCTCACCTATCGACCATAAAAGCTAATAAAAGCTAACTTAGTGCTTACATAAGAGTAGCAAGTAACATAAGACCATCCACAAGTATTTTAGGAAGGCCGCAGTTAGGAATAATTCTTTTCCCAAATAAAAGGATGAGCATTGTTTTGACAGAATCAAATGAACTCCTTCCTTTGTTTTTCTTGTACTTTAAAAATACATCATTAGAAATGCCAGTAAATGTATTGGTAAATTTTCTTTCGGTCCCCAAATCCATATTTTCCAATTTTGCAACTTCTAAACATGCCCATTTTGCAAGTGCTTCAGCTCCTTGTCTTTTTAAATCAATAAACCATATTGACAAAATTTTAATTATTCCCTGAGTGTACACACCTGTTTTCGCTTTTTCTGTTTCCCTATAGTGAACACACTAACCATCTAGTTTTGTGGTTGATGTTGTTCCATTCTCTTTGAACTTCAGTTTTCTCCTTTAAGACAGAACAGGGTCCTAAGTATTGATTCATTTGCAAACAGAAAGGAAGGACTAAAATAAAACTAAAATATCTGAAAATGTTAATAATTTTGAAAAATTATAAAATTGGCTTTCAGGCAGGAGACATCACCATCTCTGACTTGAATTTATACCATAAAGTTACTGTGATAAAGACAGCATATTATTGACAAAAAAAAAACAAAACAAAACAAAAAAAAAAACAAAAAAAAAACTAGAACTGAAGATCAATGGAACAGATCGGAAGATGCCAAAGGTACTCCAGACAACCTCAGCTACCATACCTTGGTGGCAAGCACATTCACTGGAAGAAAGACAGCCTGTTTAATGAACTAAATTTAAAATGGATCAAAGGTCTAAAGATTAAAACAAAAATATTAGATCTTCTAGAAGACACAACAGGTAAAACTCTTGAAGACATTAGTTAGGCGAAGTCTTTATAAATAAAACCCAGATCACACAGGAACTATCATAAAGAGTCAACTACTGGGATCTCATCTTATTGAAAACCTGTTTCACAGCAATGGAGAGCACAATTGAAGAGTGAAGATAAAACCCACAATGTGGAGACAAATGTTTGTCAGCTGTTCCTCAGACAAAGGGTTACTATCAAGAACACATAAAGAAGTCAAAAATAAAAATTAGACCTCTGAAATTTAAAGATTCATTCTAAAAATTGACATCTGACATGAATACATACTTCCCAGCTGAAGAAATACAAACAACAAAAATTTATAGGAAAAGATGCTCAATGAAACTGGACATTTGAAAGATGCAAATTAAAACAAAACTGAAATTCCATCTTATCAAAGACGGGATGGCTAGTATCAAGAAATTAGCCAATAACAAATGCTGGAGGGGCTGTGGGGAAAAAAGAACACCTTTCCACTGTTAGTGGGAGCATAGACTGCTACAACCACTTGGGAAATCAGTGTGGAGATTCCTCAGGAAACTAGGATCGGAGGTCCCATTTGACTCAACTTTTCCCCTTCTGGGTATCTTCCCAGAAGAATAAAAAACATTATTCCACAGTGATATATGTGCATCCATATTTATAGCAGCACAATTTGTCATAACTAAATCTTGGAAACAACTCAAACACCCATCAACTGAGGGATGGATTTGGAAAAAAATGGTCTTTTTATACAATGGAGAAGAAAGATATAAAGAAGGATAAGCTGGAGACTTTTATAGGTAAATGAATGCAACTTGAGACCATACTCATAAGTGGAATAAATCAGGCACATATGTGTAAACATTGCATTGACTCTCTAGCGTAAGAAGCTAAAAGATTACATAAGATCCAAAATGTATAATAGAAATTGTAAAATGGGAAGAAACTTCTAAAGAAAAGAGAAACTGGGACGGGGGAAAAAAGAAAAGAAAGAAGGAAAAACCAAAAATGAATATACATACACATATGTTCAGATAGTTGTATTACTAATTTCTCTTAGTTCCTTGAAAAAAAGGGTTTGTGCCAACACTGTTTGGACAATTAAGTGCCAACATCTTGTACTCTGAGGAATTAAAGATAACAATACACAATGTATTAAGCATTGTTACTCTCTGATTTTCTTGTTTTGAAATTTTATTTTTTTTCTCTTAAAGAACATAAAATTAGCTTACAAAAAGTTTTCCGCATCAAACTCAGGACCAGGCAGGCTGTGCCACTGAGCTATACTCATGGCTCCTGAAGTTTTCTTATTTTACATAAACTCACCAATGTTGCATTGAAATAGGCATCTCATACTTACGGTCCTGTACTGAGGGCATGGCAGGCATCCAGGTTTGCCTACACATGTGGGCTTCTGGATGTTTCTTCTCAAGAACAGCAAAGCCACCATTTGTGCCAAATCACAGCAATATATCTAGTCAGCCTCCCTAAACTCTACTGTTTTAAGTATCTTCCTACCCTACAATTTCAATAAAGCTACAATCTATATGGGAGAATAAGGAAGGAAGGAAAGAAGAAAGAAAAAAGAGGGGAAAGGAGGGGAGGGCAGGGCAGGGAAGGGAAAGGCAGGGAAGGAAAAGGAAGGGAAAGAAAAGCCAGTAGTTTCCAACCAAATTATGTAGCTTACTATTGGGACTTTACAATCCATTACTGTATAATTTTATTTTTCTGTTGTAATTGAGACATAACAAAATCAGAGCATGTTGCAAAAGAAAAGCTGGTGGGATAAATACCACCAAATCTAGACAGAAGAGAATTTTTTTCATTGCAGACTAGAGTAAATGTTTTAGGTTAAATCCATATTTTCTGAATTCTCTACCTATACTGATAAAATTTAGAAGGAATGTAGCATACTTAGCTAAAGAACTTTTGTTTAGGAAGATTAAATTAAATCTAGTTTCTAATTCTTTTAGGCAAAAACAGAGTACATTTCTGTAAATGGTCAATTTCTGATGCCATTTATTCATACATGTGTATGTATACACATCCATGCAGATAAAGGTTAAACTGAACCCAGAAACACTCAATACCTACTAGTTTCCCTCTTTAAATATGTTAGCCACTTCTATCACCTTTTTCTTCAAAAGAAAGTAAATTTTAAAATGGAGAAGAGAAAATAGATGAGATCCCTCTGGTTTTGGGATTTTATAGTTTCAAATCTAAAAATATTATGAAAAATTTAGCAAATAAAGCATATCAAATATCAGAATCATGACAACCAAATAGAATACATAATACAGTAAGATCCTTAAACTTAGTTCTCTGAATTTTGGTAATGCTTTCCTCCCTCTTTTTAGACAAGATTGACTTCCAAATCATAAACGATGAAAAATATTAAGAAATAAAACTATAAAAGTACTTACAACCGATCGGAGGTTATTTTCCTTCGCCAGCTTCAGAGATGATTTATAGCAATTTGCCAAGTCCTCCTTGTGGGAACCATTAATGTGGCCTCTGGCTATTGGCCCTACAGTATGGATGACATCTATAAATGCAAAAAGAAAGAAAAATAAGGTAAGCATAACATTTTCCTTTTTTACATAACCGATGCTTTATTTAGGTCAGGTATTTATGGTGGAGCCTTGGGAAAGGCCAGCTAAGAAATACTGATGATGCAAATGCTTCTTTGGTAAGAAGATGTTAGGGAGCCCAACCTCCCAAAGCAGGCAGCTTCCCAGGAAGGTAGCCATTGTGAGGAAGTGTTTCTCACCAGGAAGTCACACCATCATTACTGGTCAGACCAAGTGAGATAGATTAGAGCATGAGACCTGCATCACTGGCATCCTGGCAAAAGACAAATCCTTGGTGGAAAGTACACTGAGAAATAATTTCCCGCAGAATATACATCGAAGTTGACATGGGAAGAAGCAGCCAATGCAAGATATAACTTCCCTTGTAAATAAGACAGTTTCAGGCACTACGTGTCACCAAGAGCCAGTTTTTGAAAGCTGTTAAGGGAATTTAAAATAAGCACAAGAATCCTAAATAGAATCATTTCAAAATATCCCTACCAACTTTAAACTACAACCTATCAATCCTCACATACATGAGGTATGTTAGGGATAATAGTACATATATATTTTAATAGGTGGTTAGTTATATTTCAATGTAATCGAATGTTTACAAGTAATCTATATTCTCCAACTCGTTTATCTTTTAAAACCCAAATTGTATTTTTCTGTTCCATACAAAACTCAATTATTTTGATAATTTTTCAATCTCTACACATACATACATTTTTATTGGTAGAGTATCAGGGATTGAGCCCAATATATACCCAGAGCCCAACATATACTGGGCATAAGAAACAAAATTTTACTCCAAAATACTTAAAATACCTTGTGACATTTGCTTTCTAGTTTTTGTATTGTGATTAGGTCATTTCATTGATGTAAGTCACAAATAATCAACTTCGATCCAAAACATACATTTTAGAAGCCAAGAGTAGTGGTACATGCCTGCAAACCCATCACCTGAGGATATTGAAGTAGGAGGATTGCAGACTTGAGGCCATCTGGGCAATGTAGAGAGAACCTGATTTTAAGAGGAGGGGATGCGATTGAGTGGTATAGCTACATGTGTGTGTACAACATGCAAGGCCGTGGGTTTAATCCACAGTACCACAAAACAAGTAACTGTCTCCAAATGAGATCAAATTCTGAGGTGGTAGGTATAAAAACATCAAACAAATTTGGGGAGGCCATATTATTATGCTATTATATTGAAATGAACTCATTTGCTTCTGATCAATACCATTGAATTTTAATGACAAGGACAAGAATAAGAGTACATGACGACAATAGAATTATGACACAGTTTGAGATTGAATGTGAAATTTGAAAGCAATGCATTAATCACTAAGGGGGGAAAATCTTTGTTGGTTGCCTATAAAATATTGAGAGTACTATTTGCTACCTGAGAAAAAACTCCAAAGTATTGGCTTCAAATTACTTATTTCAAATTACTTATGAGACAATATTTAAATACTTGCCAGATAATGATAAATATAACATCATGTTATCCAAGCAGACAAGACAAACTAGTACTGAATTAATAGAGATGCTATTTCACAGGGGCTCCTGGTCCCCACCACAGTTACAACCACTACAGCATAGATGGGTGGTGATGAGAGGAAATTAGGTGGTACTTTACAAAAGATAGCAGAAGGCGATATCGTTTTTCTGTAATAAAAATAACAAGAGTTGTATATTCAAGCAATATCAGCCCTGTACTCTGTGTAATGAATTATCATATGAATGTGCTATGGTAGTTTCTACTTCTTAAATATATGCCAGAATAGAGAAAAAAGAAAAACTAGTGCTTAGATTTCTTTCCTTTTACCCCTTGGCGCTACTTGTGTGTATCCTGCTGTGTTTATTCTAAATCCACCATTGAACACAGATGAGGGAAAAGCTGAGAGGAACAATGTAGGACTGTATGAGACAGTATTTCCCTAAGTTGGTGAAGCAAGTTCTGAGTTCAAAAGTCAACAGAATTTGGGAATTGCTGGAAGAAATGAAGTCAAACCACTTACCATAGTGTGGGACTTCTCTGGGTTTTTACTAGACCCTAATGAGTTGTGAATTTCCAGGAGAGACATATAGAATGCTCTGTTTCCCAAATACATTTGACTATTGAAACTTGTGTTTTGCACAGTACCTCATAGGACCAAGTTTCTACAAATTAACTTTAGGACAAACTTGTACCAGGGCCAGTCTCATTGTCATTGTTACAGCTAAAGCTGAAGTCTATAGGACTGTTTTTCCTTCCCTATCATCTCTGTATATCAAACACTTAATATTAAAAACAAATATATGATATGAACCTCATGCCCATTTGTGAATCAAGAAGATTAAGCGTAAGTCCTCTCCTTTGGGGTCCTCAATGATGCATCTACTTGAGCACAGATAAAGAGAAGGATTGGAGACGTTAACAGGAAGCAGGGCTTTGGAAAGGAGCCTGTAGTGACACAATAAAAACTTTTTACTTTGCTTCACCTCAGCCATCATTGTCTACATAACTGAGACAGAATTTATGAAAACATCTTTCCTTGTGCTTCTTCAATTCTCCATTTCATTTAAAAAGTCTGAGGACTAACAGCCAATAAATGAGCCTCGTCAACATCAAAATATTGATCTCTGTATTTTATGCTGGATATTACACTCACAGCATCGGAGATCAAGTGCTATTATCGACCAACAAGGTGACCTCTCAGATCCACAAAGCTAGAGGTGAATCAATATGAGGATTGAAAGGAAATTTCTTTCGTTGTTTTAATTGTTTGTAATACTTGTGAGTAACCGCTCCACACCACATTCCTCATTCTCTGTTATAAAATTCAGGTATAAAATTCAGCCAGGAGGTCTGGCTTCTCTTTCCACTTCCTGCTTGGAGTCATCCAGGGGCCAGGTAAAGCCCTGATGTAAATGGCTCTTGACTTGGTTTCCTCATCTGTGAAACACATCAGATGCTCTGATGCTCCTGTGATACTTCTGTGTTGTGTGCAGTTCCTAATATTTAATCTTATCATGGAGATCATTAATGGAGTACTCAACATTTGGAAAGTTATAGAAGGAAGACCTTGTATATGAGTAAGTGGCTTGAAAGTTTTCAGCTTGTAAGAATTATTTTGCATTATTGAAAATATCATGTGCTAATCTTCCACAGTATTTGTCTCAAGATCTATTAATTGTGCACTAGGACAGACAGCTATTATGATTTCAATGATGCTTTGTATTAACTTACATTTTATTAAGCAGAATAGAATATTTATAGTGGAAAGACATGTGTAAAGACATATATTCTCATACTTGGCTACTATCTATCTGGTATAGTTTAGATTTAAAATGTCCTTCTCAAATTTTTCATTAGTGTGGAAGATGACTGGATCACAGGGATATGACAGTCCTCTGGGAGACACTGGAGTGGGTTCATTCACAAATGAGTCTAGTAGCTAAATGTGTTGCAGGGAGGGGAGGCCTGTCTAGAAGTGGATCACTGGGATTGTAATCTGGAAGGACACTGTCTTTCCTGGCTCCTCCCTCTCTCTCTGCTTCCTGGCTGCCGTGGTTGAGCACCTCTTCCTGTGCTGTACCCCTCCACCATCCTCTCTCTGCCTTGGAACCAGGCAACCATGAACTGAAATCATGAGCCAAATAAGCCTCTCCTCATTCAAGCGATGGGTGTTGAGTATTGTGAAAGGAAACTAAGATGAACTTCAGTGCCAGAGAATTGGAGCCACTGTGGTGACCGTGTAGTTCTGAAGCCTTTGGAGCTGGTTTGTGAGAGGAGTTTGGAATGGCTTAGACAAGCCTAGAGTGCTACAGGCCAAGCTTGATAGGTGATTCTAGTGACAGCTCATGGTCCAGATGGAAATTTAGACAGTAAACATCAGGCTCAGGATATTTCAGTTGGCAACTAGGACTCCACTGACAGGTGGACTTCAGGCCCTGTGTCTTACACCCTGGCATAGAACTTGTCTACTTTTGCCCAAGAGACTTGAGACTTTGTGGAGACTGAGGTTAAGCGTGGTTGATCAATTAATCCAGTAGAGGCAATCTCAAAGCATGCCAAAGTTCAGACTGTGATATGGTATGACTGACTGCCTTTAGTCAGTGTTACTGTGACAATTGAGAGCCAATGGTGAAGCTGAATGATTTGAAAAGTCTAGAGTTTCACAAGACAGGAAGTGCTTACAAAGTTAGGAGAAAGGAGAGTGTGGATGCTGAAAAAGAATAACACTGAAAGGAACTCAGGCAGCCGTGTGTGTCGAGGCATGCCTGTAATCCCAGCATCTGGGAGGCTGAGGCGGGTGGATCAAAGTGAGTTGGAAGTTGTCTATTTGTTTTGTCATAAAATAAATAGACAAAATATTTTACAAAATAAAAGGAAGCCAAGCACTTTGCATCTGGACAATAAAAAAGTAGCTTTAAGGCATCTGAAGAATTGGTCAGACCCCAGGCATCCGAGACCCTAAGATACGGAAGTATAAATGTTTTATTTGATGTAGGGACTTAAAGTTCAACATATCAATACTTGATGAAAAATACCTGTTCCTTATTATGCCTAAGATGTTTGAAATGCAGAGAGATGGTGAGGTTAAGTTTAATAGCCTAAGTCCTTTGATAATAATAATAAACTTGTCTTCTGGATGGGTAACAACCTAAGTTTGCAGACCAAAGTTAGAGAAAAAGGAGGGCTGCAAGGAAAGCCAACATTTTGGTCCTAGCCTTCTAAGGTCAATTAAGACTCAGGACATATGAGAACTTGTACTGTAACGTCATGTGCCTCGGTAGTGTCCCAAATTTTCTGATCAAGGAGATTATGGGGCCAAAGAGGAAAGTGATCGATGACATAGAGTGTGCCTAAGGAGAGTCACATGGAGAGAAAACACTCTCTCAGGCTTTCACAGAGAGCACATTGGCCAAGCAACGGCCGTGACTCATCCACATGGCTGACACTGACAAAGGTTCTACAATCGGAGGT